TTCACAGGTGGTAGTGGACGTGGTGGTGGCGGCGGAGGTCATGGTCGGGTAGTATATGATAGTGGTCGGCGTGATGGTGCTCGAGGCTGTTGTCTTTGTTTCATTTTTGATATGTGTTGTTAGTTTTGGTGTTGTTTTGCTATGAATAGGTTTTGTTTCTGGTGGAGCCGTTGATATTATAGTTGTCTGATGTCTCGTTTGTACATGTGGCGTTGTTGATATTTCTGTGGATGATTTACTTAGAGATGTTGAAAAGAATTGGCTTGTAGTTGTATGGGGCTCTGTAGCTGGGTGGCACGGTACTGTTATATTTGTACAGCATTTAAATCTTAATTCATAGTTGTAGCAGATGGGTGGTAGTTGGTCTTTATTGAAGCATATCAACCCTTCTTCTGTGTTACATATTATATTTTGCTCCAGGAGGGGATATGGTGTATCAGGGAACCTTACTGCTCTGCATTCAACAGCCTTTCTATTATTACAGACTTCGTATCCCTCCTTTTTGATGTTCTGAATTGTGTCAAAATCTCCATCATCGTATCCAGACCCTGGATAACTGACATCATACCACCTTGACCAGTAACAGTCTTCTTTAATGCAAAGAGGAGTTGTTGAAGGGAAAGTGGTGACAGGTTTTGTCATTTCAGTTGTGCTTGTGGTTGTTTCTTTAATAGTTGAATGTGTGAATGTTGTACTTTCAGAAGTTGTAGTAATTGGTGATGTTGTAGTGGTTGAAAATGATGTAGTTTCTTCAGTTGAACTTGATGTTTCTATGCTCTTAGCTGCAGTTGTTATCGGTGTTGATGTGCTGAAATGTGTTGTGTAAGAGCATGGTACAAAAACACAGCATAAGATTCTGATTTCGTAATTGTTGCACATTGTTGAAATCTGATCTTTGTTGTAACATATAAGCCCAGCTGTTGTACTGCATTCTACTTTTTGGTTGAGGTCTTTCAGTGGTATATTAGGGAATTTCTCTGCTCTGCATTGAACAGCCCGTGGAGCTTTACAGACTTCATAACCTTTAGCTCTCAAATCACCAAATGTTTCAAAATCCCCACCATCATAGCCTGGAGTTTGCAGACTCCCATCATACCATTCTGACCACTCACAGACTTCATGAACACATACTGACGTAGTTGGTGACACTGTGAAAGATAAAAAGAAGAGGCCATGAAATTTAGAATGATTTCCTGTAGATATTCTCATTTTCATTATATTAAATGGGCTGAAAATTTTCCTAAGGTCATTTGCTTGAATTCTGAGCCTGTAGTGTATCAGTTTAGTGTACTTATAATTTAATATGAAGTAGAACATAAAATCCATCACCCACCATTTTAGTGTACAGATGTGCTTGCAACTGTCACTTCCTGAAAGAATGCCAATTATCTTTTAGAAAGTGCTGAAATAAGTCTTGGGCATAATTTATACACATTGAGGGAAAAAAACCCTCACTTTTTTTTGCATTCGATTCAGTGTAATTGCTTGGTTTGTATCTTGCTTCAATATTTATTAGTCTTTCTGGAATGTCAAAGCCTGGATTCAAATCCAGTTGAAAGAATAACATTTAGTCTATGCATCAAGATTCACAGGTACTTTTTTCTTCCAAATGAGTTGACTCCTCATGTAATATGCTGCATTGTCTTTGCTCCTCCATTTGAAGTAAAAAATGTCTAATGCAGCATTATTAGCACCCCTACACTTGGTACGTTACTCTGGTCTTAAGAAATAATTTATTGGTTGGAGAGCAGTCCATAAGCTTTTGCAGGTGAATTCTCATTGTGAAATGGCTGGAAAATAGCTAATGAATTCCAGCAATGCTTATGCGTTCTGTGATTTCAAAACTTCTAAATTTTATACTGAATACTTATTTCATTAAACAACATGTGCCTATAGTAGTTAGAGATTACCAACCTGAAGAATGCTGACCAGGAATTCTAGAAATGAAAATTGCAGTATCTCAATGCCAATATCTGAGCAATCCACTTAGTACTGTAATTATAAATACCATGAACCCTACCAGGAATTTTACAGAAAGTAATCATTCTGTAATTTAATAGGAAAAATAATGAATTATTCATTCAGTAAAGATTATTCCAGGCATAGAAATAGTTACAATTACAGATGATAAATCTGATACTGTTTCTTTATCATTCACTATGATGATAAGCAAAATAATAGTATCAAACCAGTGTGCAGTGGTTTCCATTTTGGTGTTTCAGAAGTGGTTTTATTTTCTATGTTTATTTCCTTGTATTAGTTTGGTTATCAAATACTGACTGAAACCAAATGCTAATAACAAATGAGACTTACTGTCATTTATTTTGAGGTTGTATTAGTTCATTTATGTTGTGAGTGTGGGCATGGTTTTGTAGCTATATTTTACTCACTAATGAACAGAATATGCTCTTATGGGCTATAAAGGATGTACCTGTGGAAGTAGTGGCAGGTGGCGTAGTGCTGAAGTGAGACACTGTTGTGGGTGATGTTGAGGCTGGACATATATAGCCAACCCTATGAAGCGTTCCATTGGGACCACAGGTTGCAACAATACACCATCCTGTGCCGTCTGTAGTATTGTATATCACATCTTTATAGTTGTATTTCTGTCCCTCATAAATGCAGACACATTCTGTAAATCAAAAGAGAGTGTTATTCCTTGGTATCTGAAACACAGAGCAGAGTACCTCAAATGCATCCTATTCAGATAAAAACGACTATGTCAACATACCATATTCATCATATTTGCATTTTTTTCCATGATTTGTGCATTCACTGGAAAAGAGGAAAAAGGAGATGATGAATGTGAATATATTGGTTCATGACATCTTTTTATTGTTTCAATTTTTCCTATCAATCCTTTGCTATTCATTGTGTGTTTAAATGTAGAAAGACCCTATCTTCTCTGAGTTAGATATTCAGTTCTGCTGTACAAATTCAGGTTAGGTAGGATCACTCAGTTTTCTGGCAAGAAAGGCAACTCTTCTATGCCAGCATACTGAACATGCAGTATCCTTATCAATGCTTTTGAAGGCTGGGCAAATATGTGGGGAGGGGTGATTTGAAATGTTCTTATCTCCCTCATAGCTACACTTATTTTTTGGAAGGGTAAGTGCAGTAAATGTATCATTTGAGAAAGGATCACTGTATCATGGATGTTGAGGTTGTCTACACAGAGAATTTCCATCAGAATTCCATGCAAGAATGCATTCTGTTTTTAAAGGGAATTTATCTATTATCTGTTAAGAACTGAATCTTGATATATTTATTTACAGTGACTAAGGGCATCTGTACACTGAATAAACTTAAGTAAATATAGATATGTATTTAACAGGCTAGGATTAGTGCTGTTAATGACATAGACAATGCAGGCAAATCTGTCTATGAACTGCAAAACATGCCATGAAAGTTGGGTTAGCTCAGATGGGCTTCATGCTAAGCTCTGCCATTATGGCTGCACTGCTTACAGTATTAAAGTGTAGCTACTTTAAAGGTATCTTAGGACAGCTGCTAACTGCTTCACAACTGGTTCTGCTAACTTTATGCTATTTGATAGAAGGCTTAGCAGCACTTGTCCCAATATGTCATCAATTCTGGCAGAATGTGTAGGTATACTTGCTGACTGTTGCAAATATACAAGTACCAGTGCAATAACAGAAACAAGCTCAAAACAATGAAGATTGGTTGCCTACTAACTTCTAAATAATGTCACATAATGATTTTAGGGATATCAATAAAACTTCTCAGAATATTGCCGTAACTATTATTATTTTAATTTGGTTTTACTTAATTTAATAATGATAATAATAATAATTTAAAAGTACTTTAATAAGAATGCAGAATAAGTAGTAAATTAATCTCTCTATGGTAAAATGTTTCACCATGTCATCATTTAAGTTCCTGGGAACAGAAGAAAATTAGACATTATTCAGCAGCCTATGACTGGCCTAGTTCCTGCTGGCAAACAAATAGCTTAATGCATGATGAATTATGTTCCACAACTTTAAACTCAATGTTCAAAAATCTTTAGTAATCCTACCATGATTGACAATTCTGCTTTGAAGGCATCAGCATTCCTGGTTTGTAATTTTTTCCATTTTCATAACAACCACAATTAGAAACACAAGTCATGGTCTCTTCATCAAAATAGGGCTTATTCTTTGGACAGTGTGGATAGCAGCCTGCAATAAAAAATGAGAGTTAAGTTGACACTAGGCCTTTCACAAGTAGAAGTAACTTTACACTCTGCTTATATCTGCTTTCCCCAAATTATCCCATATGGTAAGTGGAATTTCAGACTCTGTTACTGCTATTCCTTTGATTGCACATTAAGCTTTGGAGCATTTCGTCCTCATCTTCACTCCAAACAAGTTCATGATCCATTCAGGAGTAAGACACTAATTAGAAAATCTCTTATAATTTCTAATATAAACATATCATATGCTGAGTAATATAAATTTTGTTAATCATTTTGCATTTTAGCTTTTTATAAGTAGAATGAGATATGCCTAATTATGTTTACCTTCCAAACCTCTCAACTCATGAAGGCAGTTCCCACTTGGATTATTGCAGGTCTTCATACAAGGGGCGCCACATGGCTTGTAGTGCCACTCACATTCCCCTTGTGGATTGTAGTAATCACAGAACAGAGCTAGAGGAAGGAGAAATGGCAGAAAAAGACCTTTGATCTTTTTGCTCTACACTTTTTCAGTTTTGCTGGGTAAAAATCCCATATGATCAGCATAATCACATAGGTGGTGAACAGTATATTGTCTTATTTCTAATTTAATACAATTGTATTAAACAAACTTCTACCACCTTTTGACACCAATAAAGTTATAAAGCATAGAACAGAGTTACATATTAAGCATGAAAAATCAATTAATTGAGTCACTGATTTTAGGTAGTATGCACTAATTTATTTACATTGAACCTGATGTAGACACGTGGGAGTGTAATATAGTATTATAGTACACTAGTTGTGTATCACGATTGACAAGTAAATCAGACACTAATGACACCACTGGTAAAGTTACTATCAATGGTTTCATTTTAAGAAGATATATTGTCTTCCATTGATTTACCCAACTTGCTTTGTGGGGTTTTTTTTGTTGTTTTTAGAATACAGCAGTGCCTCTTACAAATACAATTTTATCCTTCTTTCTTTCTTTGTTCTACGTGTTTTTCTTTTTTTCTTCTCTATTTTCTTTCCCTCTGGACCTCTTCAAAAAGCAGTAGTGTGACACTCACGACAAATGGATGGGGTTCTCCATGAAATGCAGATGTCCAGCTCATTGCACGCTTGAGCATAGGCGGCTACTGCTGTACAGAAACATTCACAGTCTCCTCCAGTGTCGCAGGCACAAGCATCATCCACGCATGCTTGATAATATTCATTTGGTTCAACCTGTTGGAGAAAACATTTGAGTTTTCATGCACTTGTCCTCTTTGAAAAGGCATTCACTGTCCTAAGAAAGCTGAATAAAATATCTGAAACTGACAATTCTGTATGTGTGAGAAAGATAAGAAAGGAAGAAACGATGAGAATACTTTGAAAAATCAAGAGGAAAATGTAGAATAAAGCTATTATGAGTAAGTCATAATGCAAAGAACTATTTGATGTTGAAGAGATTTGCAGAAAGAATACTGTTACATTACTACAAGCTAGCACACAGTCATATGTATCAGGTAGTTGATATTTATATTAGTAGAAAATTATGCCATTAGAAAATAAGCATATCCTGAGATTTATGTGTGTTTGTCCCTTCAATAAAAAAAAAAACTATCAATTTCTTTAGCGTACTAGTTCAAGGCACAAGCTGAGAAAATGAAAGTGAAAATACTTTCTATGCAGTCTCCCTGGAACTTGGTCTGACTTCACTTTGTCAAGCATGACAAAGTATATTTTAGTGTATATCCCACATAAAAATTAATGTAATCTCTGGCTCAAGAGAATTTAAGACTGAAGTTCTTGTCATACCTGGGAGTGACACTTCATAAACACTTCACTGGTAATGATGCTGCATTGCTTCTGTGCCCAGGCTTTCCTGTATGGGTTCGCAGTGCATGGATCCTTGGTACGATTGGCATTTGGGCAACTAGAAGATACTTTCCAGCTATTGGCAAACTCCAGCACGTTTCCTACCACAGACTGACTGCGAGTAGTGAAGTCATTATTTCCATTGCCATCATAGTTTCCACAAAGTCCACAGACATGTCCCTGTATGGGTGCAAACACAAAATGACAAAGATCAGTAAGGTACAGTTTCTCAGTATCTGCGAGTAACAGACCTCAGGATGAATCTTATTTAAGATTATCTGGGCCTCTTCTGTAACAGTCTTGGACATTGTCATAAAATACCTTTCATGAAGAGATGTCTTTAACTTGTTGTTAGGAAGGATAAGGACAGGAAGCAGAGCAGACTCATGGTTTTTGTTCTTAGTACTGAGGTAATTAGTTTTATCTAATCCTGAACATACCCCTTCAGTGAGGGCTTTTCATGAAGAAAGCTACTGATGTGGTTGCTGTTATGCCATTGCTGAATAACATAATTTAAGGAAAATGTGTAGTACACAATCTAGGTCAACACTACAAGGATAATAATATGCAATCGCTGCTCTTTCAGTCTTCCAGTTACAGCCTAAATTTCAATTTTTTTCTTTGAAAGGTAACATGAATATGTTTCAGAAATCATTTTATCCAGGTTTTGGATTTTAGAATGTACCTGAAAGCTGGGACTAAGTTTGATGAATATACTGGTTTTCTTGTCCCACATGATTATCAGGCCAACAGTAGTATCAACCACCAGGTAGATGCCCATGGAACGGATTTGGAATGGCATTTTTCCTCCAGGTGTCCTCTGGATGACATCAGAGTGGCCATCACTGAGTACCAGCTCATAGTTCTAGGACAGGAAAAGAAAAAGTTAGAGGCCAATTAAAAAAGTCACCTATTGCGTACAGTTTTATATATTGCCAGTAACTGTTATTGAAATAATAACTCTATTATCATCAAAATGATTCTATTCAACAACCTCATGTTAAGCAATTTCTCTTTAGAAATCCCTCCTTTGTTTTCTCTAGCAGAGAACAGACTTGTTGACAGTGAGCAAATAAGTGTAGTAACATTTTCACTGTCTTGGAGGACACTTCTATGATGCAGTCTATCTGGGACAGCTTGTTCTGTCCTTCTGGCACATTAGGCCCGGGGTACAATTTATTTAAGAAAATACTTACCCCCAGGAAAACTTTAATAGACTTAGAGCAAGTGGTTCCTGTAGTACCACATGGAATGTTCTCAGTGATGACTCTGAAGGTTCCCTGATTCATACCTTGTTGACCACAGTAGTTCTGAAACGGGAATGATATTCAGTGTTAACTATGCTACATGGTCATACGTAAAATGCAAGGTACTTCGATAGTGCAAAAATCTGGGAAGGACTCTGTTACCTGGACCAGAACATATTCACAGTCTCCTTCAAAATCAAAGCGTTTGCCATCAAAGGTAGTGTAATGCCCATCTCCATAAACAGAACAGGTTTCCAGGCAAGGTTCCTCAGAGCAGTGCCATTTTCTGTTTCTACATGTGCTACATAAGACGAAAAGCACTCCAAATGTAAAAACCAGACATACACATGATATAGCTATATGTACATTCCTGCATGTACATCAATCAGATATCAAAATGTGTTAAGCCTATAATGAAAAAATAAGGTTTGCTTATTCTCAGAAATGCAGCATAGCTCAAGAACCTTTGGGATTTACCCAAAGACTGTGTTACTTCATGATGTCATGAATAATTTGGGTTGGAAAATACTTTAAAACTTTCACATTTCCAAATCTTGATGGATGTATTAAAATGTAGGGATTGCCTGCAAGGAAAAAAGCTTTCTTGACTCAAATGAATATGACAACATCCAGACCATATTGTTGTTCTACCACTTGCAATTTCTGTGCTGTGTGCCATTGTAAAAAATAGACAGAGCTTGCTTTTTAGGTGCTAAGTGGATCATCTTATGTAGGATTCCTTCCTATAAATCTTGATACTGCTAGAGTAATTCACCTAGAGCTTAAACTATTCACTTTCAGATGCTTGAAAATAACATTTTTTCAATATGCTCTTACCAGTTGTTACAGCCAACTCTGATTGATTCTCCTGGACTGTAGGAATTCCCATTGTGAACACATGGACAGTATTCTGGAGCAATACAGCCACCTTTGCCATCTAACACTTGGTTATGAGGACATACACAGCCAGAGACACATTGGGTTCTGTACTGTAAGGACCATATAGAAAACATGACTTGAAACATTTGCGTGATGGGAGAGTCCAGCTGCAGCTGGTAACTGTAGAAGAGATCTAGTTTAATATGCTTTCAGCTGGGTATAAAGAGTCTATACTTACGCATTCCATATCTAGAGTCTGACAGCTCTTCTGGCACCCCGCTCCTACCACATCTGCAGTGGCATTGCCACAGTCAATATAGATCATGGGAGGTACACAGACTGAAAAAAAGAAAAGCCATGAGAAATGTGAGATCAACCATGTATTTGTATCTTTGTGTTTTCTTAATGCAGAGTGAAGGGGAAAAAAAAAAAAAAAGACTCTTTCGTGAGATACGTGTACCTTAACATAATGCATTTGACCAGAAAGATAAACTGAATGTTGTTTTGAAGTCATGCTAATCTGTTTTTTGTGCTTATGCTTGGACTACTCATAGAAATTAATGTTTAGTTAGCTTTGTGAAACACTTCCTTTCAGAAAAAAAAAAACAAACCCAAGAAAACAAAGATCCTGGTTTACTTTGTATATTTTTAGGCTTTTAGCACTTCTATTGTATTTAAAATGTGGACCGTTTTCTCCTCACGTTCAGTGAGGTGACCCAGTATTCTTTTCCCCTGAGTAACCCCGGGGGGTATAACTTATTTCAGCCATCTGAAAAGTAAGACAGTGTTTCTTTATATTTTGGGAATATCTTCTACATTACAGAAGTCATCAGTTCATTTTCTTGTTTGATTTCGGACTTGTACAATTTGCGTCATTATGATAAAAAGAGAGAGAACTGAAAAGGGTGAAGATGGAAAGGGAGAATTAAAGGAAATCTTAAGTGATATGTTACCTGGTTCAGGTTTCTCTCCAATGCAGCTTAGCTTTCCATAGGTGCAAGTGCTATAAAAAAAAAGAGAATGGATATGTTTTTGCTTTTCCTTGTTAAGTTTCAGCTTGTTTCCTAATGAATTTGAAATAATGAAAAATTTCTGTGTGATAAAACAGAGAAAATGTGTCCTTTATCAGAATAGTTTGTACTATTCAAAAATATTTTATATTAGAGCAGACCAAAATACAAGTATACTCTGTATAAAGACAGGTTTGCTCTGTCCATTTGCCTGGTTAAAAACTGTCCTTCAGAATAGTTCAGATTCCATTCATAATGCGAATAATCTGTAATGGGATTAGCAAGCATCTTTCACCATGGAACAAATCTTCTACAGTCATGGATAGGAAAAGTATGTGTGGTGGGGAGTGAGTGAGTGACTGGGTGGGAGTTTGGCTGTTAGCCAAGGCTAACCCACCACAGTATGGTTTGTTGAATTCCTGTAGTGGTCTAAGTACAATCTTCAAACATGAATAACCCTAACAATTTTTAAGGTTCTGTGATTTTTTGTATTGAAATTATTAGGGAGACAAATGCATTTGATTTGAATAGATTGCATAATGTATGTATGGTTTCATGATTGCCTATATCCAATCTCATTCTTTTGTTTACAAATCTCTTACCAGACAACACCATTATCATGAATAACTTCTCCAGAAGACAGAGGCATTCCTTTGTAGTAACAAGGACAGCTAGAAGCAGGCACACATTTGCCACTTTCATCCATGTAGGTTCCATTTATGCAGGTGCAGCCATCAACTGGGACAAACTTGATGCTGCATGTGACATCAGGCTCACTCAGAGACCGGCAGGTGGGTTGACAGGAATCGACATTGTAAGTGTACTTCAAGGATTTCGGACACAAGGTGGTGTACTTTGCTTGAGAGTAAAAAGGTGAGTTACGTTTGTAGTTCAAGAATCAATGTAGGTATAAATGCAGTATTTGAGGTAAAGTATATATGAAAAACATGGCAATGTATGTACATGTGCTCTACTAATATCTTCAGTGTAATTTTTTTTTTGTACTGCTAGAGCAGAATTCTCCCTTATAAATGTGTCACGAACACAAATGTTTTGTCCAGGTTAAAAAAAGAAATAAATTCAATTATATTAATTCACAGTGTGTTTTTTCTTCATTGCTATTTTTATATTTTTTGTCAAAATAAATTGAGAAACACCCTACTTATTTTATTCCTATTGCAAGGGTATTGAGGTCCATGTTGCTTCTGCTGGTTCTGAGCAAGTAATTTAACAAAGTCTCTCTTCTATATTTCTCCCTGCTTACTGCTTGTCTTTTATGGTATTCCCTTCCTCCTCAAATTCTTGAAAGTCAATGCTATACTTAAAACACAACACAATTTACTGTGGCAATCCCTGAGAGCTGCTGTGTGGGGCCTTCTGGATGATCATTTTCAAGAGGCAAAGGGATGTAGAACTTACTGCAGGCTTTGCTCCTCCATCCAGTGAGGAGAACTCCTTTAACGGCACAGGCCCTGACATAGCTGGAAAGGGCAGCACACATGCAGTCCTCACTCTTCTCACAGTTACACGTGTCAAACATACAGTTCTAGGACAGAGGATGACATATGATCATCAGATTGTCATGTCAAAGCCATGGTGCTCTATACTTTTTAGAGTGTCATGTTCATTAGAGCTAAAAGTCAGTGTAATCCATATGCATAAGTAAACATATGCATGTTTTTCATTTGAAGATTTCATTGAGCACTTTCAAAAAAGATTCTTTGCAAGGAGAGAGAGTAACTAGAGGTCCACAATTTTAAACTATTTTTTCTTTTTCTTGTTCTTTTTTACTTTTTCAGGTGTTGGTAGGTTTCCCAACTACTTCCAGTTTGTAGCCACTGTGCCATATAGACTTAGAACAAGTAGAGGGTATTTGATGCCACCCAACTTTTAGGGCTTAGGCTTAGGAGCTTGGGCTCTCTGCATCAGAGGAACGAAGAAAACAAGAAGTCATTTAATGTGTTGCTATGCCAGGCAAGGTCACTATAATGTTATCATTCCTGAAGATGTTTGTTGAACATAATCTTACAGATTTCCAATAACAGGGAGACTTTGTAAAGTCCCCAGGCAGTCTGTTCCAGAGCTTCATCACCTTGAATTCCTGGAACATTTTTGTTCATGTCTTATCTAAATCTTTTTGCTGCTTCTTACACACATTTCTTGCCTTGTCCTTGGATATATGCAAAAGCCTTCTGAGAGCAGTTCAGAGCAACTAATCAAAGTGCTAGTTAAGATTCTGACTAAAGCTTTCCTTATATCTCAGTAGGGACGGCTTTTGTCCTTTGACTTGCTAAGGAGTCCAGGGAGTCCAAGCTCCTAGCTTAGGCATTTAGGTTAGTACCTAAAAATATGGGCAGCAGGAATACGCCTGTAAGTTTATCCTCCTGGGAATGGAAAGAAAGATACCTTTACAAAGGAGTAATTATTATAATGTGTAGATAAAAATGAACCCTTGGCTTGAAAAGAACTATCATGAATGCATCTCCTCCCAATTGGCAAGTTATTCTCTCAGGTGTTAGTATCAGAAATCTGAGACTTTTTCTTTTAAATGGGAAAAAGTGAAGAGCGAAGTACCTTCTGGTAAACTTCTGGATTCACTGTTGAGTGACATTCAGCAAAAGGTCCCATGGTATCAGAGAGCAGTCCACACCAGTGCTGAGCATACTGGTCTGTGAATTGAAAACATAAGAATTTCTATTGCACTTCGTTGTCTAAACTCTTGTCTCAATGTAACTCCACTTCCTGCAGGGAAATTGTAGAAGCTTAACTTTACGATAGAATTCAGCTCTACATTTGCTGAAACACAACCAGTCTTTCACTTCCTCTATACAGAAATATGAACTCTTCATAAACTGAATGCTTTTAATTCATGGTAGTTGTCATGAAGTTCACATTGTGAATTAAAAATACGCTAGTTCATCTCACAAAACAGAAGAGTGGCTTGTGAATGCTCAAAAATTATGTATTTCATTGGCTGAAATGGAGCCTGAGAGCTATGAAGCTCCGAATTGTAAGTCTGGTTCTCAGTTTAACAGTGGAAGGACCACACTGAGTCCAACCTTCAGTGGGGCTATGCACAGCTTTTTTCCTATATGACAATCAGTCCTTTCCAGGTCCACTGTTACTTTGGCTACATGCTTGGTGGTTGATCAGCTTATTCCTTCTTTCCGACTTAAAAGAGAATAGAGGAGGTTACTATATGCTGAGCTTACCATTTTGTATGCTGACAGTACAAGGATTCTCAAAGGTGTTTTTGGCATCAGGACAATCAGCCCTAGTTTTCCAAGTATTGCCAAAGGCAGCTGAAGTACCCTCTATTACGCCACTGGTGGTTTTGAAATCATCTATCTGCATGTCATTGAAGTTTCCACAGAGACCTAAAAGGAAGCAGATGGGCTGTGAAAGTCTCCTACAGAATGAAGCATACTGATGAAAGCAGTTGTTACGATAAGATCACTTACCACAGGTCTGCCCTTTATGTGGTGGGTCTAAGTCTATAAAAAGTTGCATGAGAGGCATGAGCTGAACCTGTAGCTGAAGGCCAAAGGTTGTTTGCAGAATGATGAAGAAAGATGTTGGTCTGAAGATGGTGACATTTGCTAGGGACATAAGAACATAAGAGTTATAATTTCATATGAGATGAGCAGTTGAAATAACTGTTCGTCCTACAGAGGGATTCTACAATTTTAGATTGATTAGAATTGAATTTTAGATTGATAGAAATTTAGATTGATTAGAATTTCTAATCAATTAGATTTTGTAGAATCCCTCTAAATTCTAATCATTTAGGATTCTACAATTTAGGGATTTTTACCCTAAACAACAAATGTATAAAACCCTCCAATTTCTGTCAGGTGTTTTAAAATAAGGGAAAGAACACACACTTCTGTTGCTATTTAAAAGACCACCTTTGCTTGATGAAAATTATATAGCATGATTTAGTGGTAGACTCCAACCTGGACCTATTCTGTCCTTTCATGGTTTGCTTTCTGTTCAGGTGCAGTAGTATCTGAGAAGAACTGGTATGAGAGAAACTCTCCAGTGATGAATATGCACCAAGCAAAGGCACAGAGTGAACCAGGGAACTAAACAACTTGAGATATTGGAATCCTGTGGCATATCAGAATTTTTCTTTCCTCTTTTATGGCAATATTTGGATCTGGAAGTGTGCAATGATACTATTTGCTTGAATTGAATCTCCATTTAATTAGATGTTGCTAAATTTAGACCATAATTTTGCTAAATTTATAAAAGTTGAATACGCAAACCCTATTACTTTAAAAATGAGAGACTATGCTCTATTGGAGTACCTTGGGATTGCAGCAGTGTAACCAAAGGTAGAATTTGGCTTTAGATTAACCGATATAATAACATTTTAAAGTCAAAAATGAGAAACATCACAGAAGTCTTCCAAAGGAACTTACCTGCAGAGAATGGCAGCTGTGTGTAGATCATATTCACAAATACACTGCCAGAAGGCTGGATCACAATGCTCTGTCCACAAGAAAAGGCAATGATTATCAAGCACATTTTAGGAAAGGTAAGACACTTTCCAAATATTTTCTATCTAGTGTTGTTCAGGATAAAGGAAAAAAAAGTGGGGGGAGACTGTAATGATGTTCTGATTCCTATACTATTTCTTTAATCTTTATTACTGTGGTCCATTGACTGTCAAAACAAACAAGCAAAAGCCCAAAGATAACTAAATGACAGAAAACTACTAGGATCTTGACTTCCAATGTACCCATTTTATTCTTAATTTTTCTTTGAATAATGTTTAAATGAGATAAAACAAAAAAATCAGTGCAGATTTCCTGTCTGTGTTATGTGCCATTTGCAAACTACTTGTTTATTAAGCTTTGAAAACATCCCTGCAGAATGTTAGGTGTCTACATTTGCTACTTACAGTTTGTCCTCCACTTAGGCTGATGGCTATACCCTTGAGGCACGTCTCAGTGTCAGTCAGGCCACACTTGTGGATATCTCCCAGAACAGTGAATTCATTGCTGTCACAGAGCTAGAAGAAGAAAACAAAATATATTGTTAAAAGGATTTGTTATATTATAATATTGTTATGTTAAAAAGGTTCACACTCAAATGGCATTCTTAGTAAAGTGAGTCATTTAAAATATTGTTTATTCCTTTTCTTCCTGCTCCTATGTTCTTACATATATGTATACAGTCACCAGGTAAGCTGGCATTCATGCAGTCTGCACAGTGGAAGCTATCCATTACTTCTGCCATTCACGGGCAAGTTAGGCATATTAAGCTGAACATTAAAACTTCCTAATGTTTAGGTAATACTAGTTCCTAATGTTTAGTAATACTAGTTTAATACACTAGAGAAGAAGAAGGAAGCGTGCCTTTCTTGCCCATTGGTTATGGTGTTTACCTGGGAGAGGACAAAAATTGTTTCCAGTCTCTTCTGCACTGAATAGAATATCAAAGAGCATGGTGATTTGGACAGTCTTTTAACAGGTAGAAAATATGCATTTAAATATCCTCTCATAGGAGAAAATGAAGCTAAAATCACTGTTCACTAAGCTACTGAATAAAGGCAAAATTCAATTTTTCTCTTGGTTCTGATTTTCATTGGTCTGTGTTCTGTGAGCTATATTCAAAGTGTGCCTAATGGCCAAGACGTTACAGGGAAACGTGCAGAAGGCTGTGATTCTGAACGTGTCTTATCACTTTCTTGGCATAATGAAGATTAAATTGAGGACAGATGAGATACAGAATTACAGCTATCTGGAAATTTAATATTAAAATTGTGGGCTTTTTGACCTTTTGTGTCCAAGTTTAGGGTTTTTCTGTACATCCAGAGCCTCTGAGAATCTAATTTTACATGTTGGTGCCAAAAGGGGAGTTGAACATGTGAGTCTGATCTGTGCTCCCATTGTAGATCGAGCCCAGTGCTTGTGAATCTCATCAAGAAGTTTCATTGATTTAGTCTAATCTATTTCTGAATTACCTCATTCTAGCTTATTTCTAAGTTTTTATGGTTCTCTTTCTTGGTAACATTCAGTTTGAGCTTTTTTGAGAACATTTTATTTAATATGAAGTCTTTAAGAAAATTGTTTGCATCACTCATCCAATACAAACAAACAACAAATATACCTAGGGTCCTGAAATCTGCAAATCTGTAGTCATTATTTTAGATATATCTACTCAGAATTCAGTCCCTACCAATCTAAAAACTCCAGTAAATATTAGGTGTTTTTGTAAGTCATCAATTTCTAATTCAGGTTTTAGAATACATGTATGACTTCTTAGCTTTTTGCTTTTACACTCTAGAGTCTTCTATGTTTACTGGGAAAGACTGTTTGGAAGGTTGATCATCTTAATGAAATAACTCATCTCCCATGAATTCTGTATTTTAATAATTCTATTACGAATACTGTTAATCAAATAAGCCTTTGAACTATATTAACTGTGACAAAAAGGACAGTACCAATGGGCATAATAAGCACATTGCTCAAAAAGTAGTTATAAAACACCAGACAGGCAACATTTAATTAAAAAATTAACAGGAAGCATGGAGATTGTTTCATGGAACCTAAAAACTCAGTGCAATTGTTAAACAATGATCAAAGAAGACAAAACTACTACAATATGTTTATTTAGTATAGCCCTAACAGAAAGCCCCCTGAAATCCATTTAAGGCTCCATGTTGACCCTCTAAGTTTCAGAAAGTTGATGTGATTGCCAGTAGTTTTAATTAAACAACATTACGCATAATAAAAACATTTTCCTTTAGCATATAGTGTTAGCAAGGATTGTGACTCATTTTTACCTTGGTTAGGACATAGCTACAGTCTCCAAAGAAGGAATAATATTTCTCATCAAATGTTGAAATGTGGGAGCCTCCTTCAATACTGCAAGTCCCAGGGCATGACTGGGTAACACAAGACCATTCACCTCCAGCACAGGTGCTGAAATGAAGAAGGCATTCAGTAACCTTGGGTAATGCAAGTGTAAATGAAATAAGAGACAATAAGGGCAGTTGATGCCTTAATTTTCCTCTTGAAGCACTGATCATACTGTCAAAGAAACCAACATTGCTTTGAAATCTCAGAATAAGTATGGTGTAGGCACATGTATAATAGCGATACTTTTTTATATATTGCTGTTCATTTCCAGACTTTGGACAGAACTCAGTCCTGGTGAACCTGGCATCCATTCTGCTACATATGAAGGATCGCCCCTCATCTCCATTAGCATGGCTCACGCTTCAAGCATGTTAAGTATTTATTGGAAAGTAACATGCATGTTTGTGGTTCTTGTATTCATAGATAGATAGGTGCATTTGCATACACTTATGCAATAATACTTCAGTAATTATAGTGATACTGAAAAAAATATACATCATATCTGTCAAACATGCCTCTCAGATGTGATCTCCCACTCTGTCCAATGCAACATGTCCCTAAATGTCACGTCCTCCATAGTATTTACATGAGCATCCTAGTATTACACTGTAGTGCTGCAAAGGACGTAACACAGTAATTCACATTTTTAAACACCTCTGGTATTTGAATTTGATTGGTCTTGAAATTGGAGTACCTATGTCTAAACTCAGATTTTTGCTTCCAAGTGTGAGTAGAAAACAGAGATGTAAGTATACTCTAAAAATGTGTAATCAAGGAACTTCAGTTGATAAGTAGTTCCTCATTTCTTTTTAAAGGGAAATTAGTAATTTTTCCCTGTCTTCAAAATGTTCAGGTAACGCACCTAAAAAAAGAAGTATGAGAAAGGGAGTATGTTACCATGATCTGCATTTAGATGAGAAGGAGGCACCAGGAGCATAAGTTTCACCTTCATAGGTACAGTGGCATTCTTTACGGGGAATGCAGCCAGCACCATTAATGTCATCAAATACCATTCCTAGGGAAAGAAATGGTCTGTTACTCATTCTGTGCACTGCAGAACCTGCTTTTGTACACATATCTGGCAGATGCCTGAAAGCATGTTCCATTTCTTCTGTATTACACAGAAAATTAATAGAAAGTACTTTAATAGGATGCCAGCTATGTAAGGATTGAAGGGCTGTATTTCATTGAAGCCTATCTAAAATCTTAGGGTGATCAAAAGAGACCTCTGGGGAAATACCTTTCTGTTATGGACTTCATTAGATTGGAATTAGGATTAAAATTATTAGATAATGAGGTGGAATAAGTGAACCATTTGTAAGACTGCCCTGGGACATATTTGTACAGTAAATAGTTTTATACCCAAAGGCAGAGGATTATCTAAGAGAAGTCAATGCTATTATACAAACAAGTGATGGTGAATTCTGTGAGACATCATGAAGGATGGGCAGAAGAGCTGCAAAGAGTGAAGATCTTACCATGCAGTCACTCACAACAGCAACAATTCTCAGCCCCAGAAGTAAGCGTGCACAAAGAGAACACAGTCGCATTGTTTGTCTTGTACTGATATTCAGTTCTCATGCATAATTCTCTGAAGCGCCAGATTTTACACACTGCCTAGTGCTCTCTCAGCTCCTTCTTGTTTAGACATGCAGCACTGGACAGGAAGGGTTTGGTAATTTGGGGAACCAGATGCAGCTTTGCTAATACCAGGAGTTACCATTGTGGGCAAAATGTGATTAAACATTACATACTTTCTGTGAACTGAATATGGATGCTGAGAATAGAAGACTTCCCTTTACTGTTAGGAGCGAAGTATTTTATTCTCAGTTCAGTCATCATGTACATGTCTCAGGCACGTTTATTGTTTAAAAGGGCATTTTTAGTAATCTGAATAGAAATGATCCATGTGTATCAAGGAGGAAATGTAGTTATTACTTTGATGTTAATAACAGCAATGACATGATGAGAATGATACAGAGTAGGAAAGTTGTTAAATGTGTACAGGTAAGTGTTCTAGCGGTTTTGGCTATGAGAAAAGGGCAGGAAATAAGCTTGCCTGGAGGACAGATGCAGCCATCTGTACAATGATCTTCACAAAGTGCAGATCGTTCCGGGTTACTGCACGTGTCAGAGCAGGGGGACCCACACTCCTGGTATTGCATGTTGAAAGGACATAGTTTGGCTGAAAGTAGAAAGAGTATTATAATGCTGACTTTTCCTTTGAAATGTTGAGAAAACAGTATTTGCAATTTAGGATGTTTTCTGTCAAGATATAATGGGGAATCCTGATCCAAGTGGAGGCTGCCACATTTTAGACTTTCTGATGTCTATTGAAAAGCCTTAGTAATGCAAAATCCTCTAAACTTCCATATTTCCAAAGTCTTGAGTATTCTTAGGTTAAAACTGATTTCATGAAAATTACATGCACCTTTAAACAGCTGTCTTCTTCAGGAAAAAAATCACGTATTTGAAGTTTACTAGATATGGGTAGTAAGCACAGGTGAAAGTCCCTTCCTGAGGTACTTACGACACAGTTCTGAGGTTCTCCAGTTCAGAGGCTGTCCACCTGCATGAGCGCACTGCCGGGAGTATTCAGCAAAAGTGTTGCACATGCAGAAGTCAGCCATAGAGCTATCACAGTGGCATAGGTCTTGTATGCAAGTTTCAATGTAGTCCTGAACATTCACAAGTGCATTACAGCTTGTAAATGCTTTATTAGTTAATACTGTCTCACAGATAGAAGCCTAGGAGGGAAAATAGAGAAGGTAAAACAAGTGTTTAGAAAATATGAAACTAATTATTTAAGGCATGTAGCAGAACAAACCAAAGGTCCATCTGGTCCAGAAACCTGTCTAACAGTAGCCATAAGCAGATGTTTAGGGAAAACTATAACAATAGGGCAAATACACATGGAACTCCTCTGATTAACTCCCATATCTTCCCGTATCTTGAGTTACTTTCAGCTCAGGTGACTTCCCAAGCATTATACTTTGTATTAAGACATCCTCAGTGAATTTCTCTTTCATGAAAATATCCAGTCTTCTCTTGGAATGGGAATGCAACTTTTTAGCATTCACTTTAGCAAAGAAGAAAAAATTAAATTTAGAAAAATTTTCTTTCCAGACCTACGGTTGAGTCATATTCATGCTATATTTTTTCCAATTCTAACAAATTTTCTCCAAAGACAGGGAGAATGTATTTTACACTGAGCAAACAAATTTTGAGAAAGAGGTTCTTACAAATTCAGCTGAGCAGTTCACCAGAACAGCAGGAGGAATAGGATCAGCACATTGCTCTGTGGGTCCATCCATCTTCTGTCTATTCCCAAACTGTATGGGAGTCAGTTTTGTCTCTATAAAAAGCAGTCCAAATATTAGAATAATATTTACTGGTTTACTGGCTTTTGCATGGAGATTTTTTTTTTTGTGACACTACCCACTATGACATGAATAGTGATTACCAAATAATATCACTATAATATGAAAGGCAAAAGGAGATGAAGATTACTTTTTATACCCAAGGTATAAAACCCACAAGGAAGTGGATCCTAACAATTGAAAACAAGTAGAAAGTTGCATGCAGCAGATCTTAAAAGATCTAACAGTGATGGAAGCAGCCTAATACATCTCAAAGCCCTGACTCTATACATAACTGACATCATAGAAATACATAAAGAAGTATCACTAGTTTTGCAATTAATATGACCCACAACCTATGTTACAGTATACTGCCAAAAGAAAGAAAAACAAAGCCCCAATACTTAATAATGCTTTTTATTACTTACTCTCTGAAATAAATTCATTGCTAATTGGAATTCCATTGAAGTCCCCACAAAGTCCGCAAGTTTGATTGGCATATTTCTTGTCTAGTTCCACCTAAAAGAAATGAGGAAAGAGAGCTTAGGTTCATAGTAGCCTTGATGGTTAGGAACACAGCCTACATCAGTATTGCTTATGTACTCAAAATTTGACATATGTATGCTGTACAGACTATGTTATGTGGTAACATGGTAGGCACCACTGGGAAGGTCAGTGATCACCAAGAAAAACTTGGTCTTATTCTAGCCCTGGGGCTGTGAACACCAGCACATTGCCAAGTCTGGAATCTGAGGAGTACTTCACTGTGAGGTGGGGACGTTATAATCGGGGGTCTATTGATCCTGAGCTGAGCTTGGTGGAAAAAAAAGGGAAATTGGGGGAAGACTGGAAGACAGAACAATACACTAAAAATGGACACAAATCCAGAAGTAACTAATGCCTGCCTGGCTGATTAAGACTCCAAAGACGTAAACAGACTGTTTTCAAAATACAGGCTTTCTGCCATGTTTTGGATGTTTTCTTACCAGGAGGGCATCCTCTTCATTCCAAAGGAAGGTCAGTCCTAACTTGGCAGAAACTTTCAAATAGCTGTTACTTCTCTCTATCAAGACTCCCATATAGCTGTAGGGCATCTGAAGCCTGGGGAAAGATCACCGTAATTCAGTGGGGGTAGGGACAGAATATCCATTGAATATCCACACTGATATCCTTTCCCATTCTCTTTGAGAAGCTTCACCATGCATAGGTAAGGAAACTAGTCAGAGCTGTAACTAAATACAGACAACACAAGTTTGTAACATTTTGGGTGTTTCCTGTGCAGTTGCTTCTCATTGTGCAAATGGATCAGCCTTGCTTTCCCTGCTGTTCTTTTTGGCTCTCTCTGTTAATGGTGTTTTGCTAGATAAAATGTTGGCATGTGTCTTTGGTTGTATTGTTCAAAAAAGTACTGGGAGGTTCTGTTTTGCAGGCACTATGCTTCAGGATATTGCTATTTACTCCTTAAAGCCTTTGATAATAAAGGGAGGGATTCTTTACGCTTTCTGTGATATGAGTGCCATTCACAAAGGTGTACCCAAGATAACCTTTAGACTAACTCACTGTACCTAGCTGTTATAATACACAACTCACTGTGGGATAGCTGCCCAAATATTTACCCAGCCTTTTGCACAGGTTTCACACCCTATGCCAAAGTCAGTGCTACCATTGGTACATAGATAGGAAGTTTCCAGACTAGCTCATTTTAAATGAGCGCAGGTACAAGCTGCAGTCGCTGCTTAACTGCATAGTGTTCAGTGCAAGGACAAAAACCGTCAAAAATTCCTCTCAAGGATCCTGTTCTGGTAAAATTAATGGAAAGTAGAAACTTCAAGGGTGTAAAAACCTAACACTTTGACTGAATCCAGCTTATAGACTCAATTGTATATATACATACTCAATTGTAGCAGTGGGGCAGTATCTGGGATATAGCTCATCTGAACAAAATGGACACAGGGATAATCTGCAGAAGTGGCACTTAGCTCACTGTCAGGCCCTCTTATTTTTGTTGATACTTCAGGAGGGACCTGAGCCTTTCAGCTGCTTGGGAGCAATGTCAGATCAGATGAGGAAAAGGGATGCTCGCTCAAAGAGCCCACTGGGAGCAAGAGCAGTGATGGCAGTTTCAGGTTATGAACATACAATTTGCCATCAAGCAGGACAGAGCCGCGGGTCAGTTCAATCACTGCTCCTTCCAGCTTCATGATGATGTGAGTGATCATGGTAGCATTTTCCACCATTGTACGCCTAATCTGGATGTTGAAGTCCTCATAGGGAGATTTGCAGTTGGATGCAAAGATGTAATTGCAGACCCCAGGGAAGTAAAAGATGTCCCCGTCAAAGGTCTTGAAGTGGAAGTTACCCCATGTGCTGCACACACGGCCATTGTGAGAGGGGTTGCCAGCTGTGGATTCAAAATAAGCAGTAAGAATTTTCTGTAATTTGTTGTAGATACCCTCCCTTTAGTTACTTTTCCCGTTTTATTTCTTTCACTAGCCTCTGTCCAAAAAGCCCATCTTCTATTTTCCTTCTTGTCAAGCTATTAATTTATTGATCTGTTATTTATTTTGTTCAGTTATCTTTTGTGTTTAATCTGTTTTGCATAGGGATATAGGGCCTAAGATTGGAAGAGACCTCCTGGGTTACTATGTCCAATGCTCTGGGTCTCCTGACAGCCATTTTTTATAAATCCTTTCCTAAATGTATGAAGTTCTAAAGTTTCACCATAAAACCAGTTTAAAGTTAGTTTAAAACTAGCTGGTACTCCTACTAGGGAAGGACACTTATAGCTGCACCCTTTGAATGGCTGGAAGACTTTTGCCAGCATCTTCTAAAACGTATTCCTGTCTCATGTATGTCTGGTTGTTCTTGTGCCGGTATTACACTTCGCCTTGAAGTGGAAAGTTCCACCTCCCTGCTCCTCTCCCCCCACATTATAGAAATAATTTATCTCTTCTCAGTCAGCAGGCTCCCCTATGTCCCTGATTATCCTCACAGTCCCTCTCTGTGTCTCTTCCATATTTATACTCACCCTGCGTGAACACAGCTAGTCAGAATTGTACCCTATACCCTAGATAAAGTGTCTCACCAGTGCTTTGAACACATTAATATTTCCCTCTCTTTACTGGAAATATTTGTGCATGATTTATCCCAGTATTATTTTTATATCTATATAAAAATATATTTTTTTTTTTTTTTTTTTTTTTACAGTTGCATCATATTAACAAAATGCAGGCTGGGTACTGGGGTCACATTTAGATTATCCTTGTTACCCATTGAACTGACTACTTTCTTGTTAATTTTTTATTTTATGATGCTAAAGGATCTTAACCAATTTATTAATCTCTTCAGTCACTCCATGCTCTACCTGTGTGATCAACAAGAACACAGATATCTGAGCCATGACATTTGTTTAACTTACCCTTTACTTGCAGTGTGTTTTGAAAAGATGGAATGATTGTCACTTCTTGGGATTTCGAAGCTGGTGGAAAATCTAAGGGGGAAAAACCCATCAAGTTTAATCTTATTAGAAGTCCTAAAAAATGGATAGAGATTGCCTAGTCTCTTTAGTGATTAACATTTCCTACTGCTAGTTACACTCTAGGGGGAAGTTTCTACAAGTTTTTATTGGTTGTTTTTACACAGTGCTTTGTGTTCTGTCTTTCTATACGTTTCACTAACAGCCAAATCCCAAAGACTGTGCTCTTTGGCTGTAGTACTTTCTTCCATTATTTGTTCAAGACTCTCATCTGATGCTGGCCCTGATGTTCTGAACTCAAAAGCAGCAATCTGATCCTTAGAGCACAGCCTTGTAATAGTAATGCAGAAAAAGCAGTGCTAATTTCTATGTCTGAACCTTTGCCTCTCAGTACACTTAGAACAGAAAGTTACTGAAGAATATTAGAAGCTGAGGATGAGAAACAGGAGCTGTTTTTTTTCTGAAGCTCCTATCTTTGTGCTGAGACATGCACTTCTGCACAATCAATTCTAAGCAGATTTTTTTAAAAAAGCAGTTTAAATTCTGTGAAACTTTAATCATGTGCTTTTCATGTGAAGACTTCTACTGGTAGGATCCAGCCCTAAATTTTCCATATTCAAATCCAATGTTTTCTCTTTGGATCCAGCAATGAAAGGGATATAGAATACTTAGAGAACCTGCAATGTGATTTTCTTAACATGAGAGTCTGAGGAATTGATGCAGTTTCTTCCTTGAAAGTATCAAAATTGTAGAATGTGATGACTTCCAAATTGTAGATTGTGCAATATCAGCCATTGATGTCTGCATTTAGACCAAAATATATCACTGAGACAAATACGTGTTTTAGAAAGACAATCTCATTTAGTCTTGATGTAAGGATTTTAAGGGAAAACACACATACTACCTTCTTTGACAATCTGTTCCAATCATTAAATGCACTCACTATTATTAAATAATTTGTAGTACACTTCCAATTTGGGTTTATCACTATTTTAATTGCCAGCTAGTGACCTCACAAATTGCATATTGCAGGGCAGGCTTAATGATTAATTTTTTCAGCCTGTCTTCACTAATTTACCTGTCAGCATTGTATCCTTCCACCCTTATTTTGCATATATAGAGTTATGTTGTTTGCTCTGTACAGTTATGTGTCATGCATGATCTTATAGTCCTTAATTATTCTAATGTTTAAGATAGTTAAAGTTTTCTTATTCTCTTGTGAGTGATGCAGTCATTTTGACAAAGTATAAAAAAATGTATCTTTTATTACCTACTATCAAGTACCTTGGTGATAAGTATGTATACACACACCGCTTCTGAAAATACACTTTTAAATAGAAGGCATGTAACTTTCATGAAGTTAAAGATTAGATAACTGTATCATATCAGTAGACCAGATCCACTGGGCCAGATCTCAGAGGAAGTTCTCCGGTTTAGAGCAGTCAGAGACTGGCTGAGAATTGGATATATTGTACAGAGGATTTCTGTCTCCTTTTTTTTTTTAATTTTTTTTTGGGGGGGGGGAGTGGGGGAAGGGAAAGTATGCTCTAGCTAGGAATAAGAAGATTCTGGTAATCTTATTATCTATCAATTTAATTTGGGACAAAATCTTAGAAATAGATCAGCATAAAATTACTTACGTTTTTGTCGCTGCAGGATGGATGGAGAAACATAGTTTGATTTTGTTTGTGGTTCATCATCCTGGGCTTGAACTGCATCAGGAAGAGTGGAGGAGGAAAATGTTAATGTCTAATTTTCTTGAGTTCCCTCACAATTTCTCAATTATATCTGTTTAAACATGCAAGAGTCAATATATCAAAAATCAGCAAAGCTATGTTCACGTCCAGGTCAGATTTGCATCAGGACCTGTGCTACATGCAACCATGATGGCCATATGCCACTTCTTCAGTTTTTTTTTTGTTTGTTTTTTTTTTGCTAATAAATTACTGCAGGAAAGCCATCAAAAACATGTCTGTGATAATTTGAGCAGATCCTTATTCTGTTATTGTCACAGTAGCCCTGGATGCCCTTTTAAGCTTTTCAGATAAAGGACTTCATTTTCTTAGTTTTTATGATCACTGTGTGCTTTAAGCATCAGTGAAACCCTTCGTCTAGCCAGAGGGCTTTAAAAATATGTCCCTTTTTTACAGGAAGAATTCATTTTAGAGTTAGAGGACTGATCTCTGTCCTCTCTTACTGAAAGCCAAAGTTACTCTGTATTTTACAGTTTCAAGCACTTTTTGTAATAAGCAGCAGAAGGAAAATAAACACACAAGCCACACAGAAAGAAATAGGTCTTTTGAATAGATATATTTGTGACTGTTGATTTTGCCCCAAAGCAAAACTTTCTGTTTCCAGGGAAGAAACCATTTTTCATTCCATTCTACTGCAGCATCAGAATACACACAAAATCTGCAGGGGCCAGACTGGCCTTTAATGCACCGCTTAGTGAGAGTTCATCAGAGGGCAGGTTGCAGGGGAAGCTATGCTGGCCAGAGAAAACCGAAAAGGCAGGCTTACCCTCTGCTGCATCCCACAACAACGGCAGTCCGTGGGTAGCACCGCTAGAGGCGCTAAGGCTGAAATCAGAGCTGCAGGGAGTTCCCTAAGTGCCTTCCTTTTTGCACCAGCTGGGGGTCTGCAGCTGGTGTTGGAAGGACACATTGTGCCCGTTTTTAAGCTATGAACCATTCAGTGCTTCTGGGCTCCACTTCTCCACTGCCTAACCTCAGAGAGCTTTTTTTTCTCTCTCCATGCACTGTATGGCTCCAACACTCTGCCTCATGCCATATGCATTGCAGATTCCCGTTTCCATTGCACAGTGTGGTAATGCTACAGCTAGTCTTTTGATGGGTTATTCTTTGACACTACCACTTTTTAACATAAGTTAGTGTGGAATTACCTGGAAGTAGGAAAAAATAAAATAATACAATAGGGTATGCGTCCCAGATCAAAATGCACTAAAAACTAACATTGTTGTTAGCTTAAACTTTAAGGGAAATTAACAAGTGAAGTATACATACAAAAGATTTCCATTCATCTGTGAGTATTAAGTGCCCTCTTAGGATATTTAAGGCAACTCCATTTGTTTTAACCCCACCAAAAACCAACCCTCTCCTCTAAGCTTTTATGCAACTTCATGTGCAAGAATAGATGAACTTTTTAAATCTGTTGTCCAATGTTTTTCAAGCAAAATCCCCCCTTTTCCCAATACTGTATCATCAGCTGATAAAACAAACAAAATCTTTAATAACGCATGCAAACAGACTCCACTGATTTGTTCCTTCCTAAAGCCACTTTTCCACCTTTTGGTTTGTGCATTTAGAAATGCTGTACCACCTTGAAGTGGACATCAAAAGCTAAATGCAAATCTTGAGGCATTTTGGTAGAAATGTGAGTTGTGAGTAAGTTCCACTGAATTCAGTAGAGCTATTCCAGGTTTCGACTGGAGAAAATAGGATGAGAGCATGGTCTACAATATAAATTTTCAAGACAGTTAATTTCCTCTTCTTAGGAAGGAAAGTATTTGTAACAGAAAAGAAAATCTCTCATAAAGGTAACAGGTTCATTAGCTTCACAAAGCCAAGAAAAAAACGTTTCAAACTCCAAAGAAAGCTATAAATTCTTTAAAGCAGTAAAAACGCCAAGCAAGTGAATCTTCCTACCTTTGATCAGTATGAAGGCAAGTGCTAGTATTGATATCCGTAGTGGTATTCGTGTCCCACCACCTGTGCCCATCTTCTGGAAGTCCGGTAGAAACTACAGAACAATCTGCCTCTGAGGAAATACCTGTCTGCTCCTGAGTCTTATATAGTAGGAGAGTAGGTTTTGGCTCAGTTCCCAGATTGTTTCACAAGGTTCTTAAAAGGTGGGGCTTCAGACATTTTAGTTTTCCTTTGCAGGTGCACAGGTAAACAGAGGATGCTCTGACTTTCCCTCAGGTATTTGCACTCTAGGAGGAGTCTTCTTTCTACAGGTCTTTTTGATGAAATGTCAAGAAGTGAGCAGGAAGAATTTTTGCTCAGGCTTAGTCTTCCCAAATTGTTATATATTATGGGATAAATGCAATTTAAGGGACTTCTGAGTGACTTTTGAGCAGGAGCTTGGAATGAATTACATCACTTTTTTTTTATTTTCCTCCTTATACTAAACGATGGCAACGCAACTTCTCAAAAAACCCAAGGAAGTTCCACCTGACACAGATTTTTTTAATGAGTTTGCACCTGTCTGTGTAGCTACTTTGCCTGTGAAAATGGAGAAATCAAATGCCATCTAAGGTCAGCATTTATCCACAGGCCAGGCACAACACAGGACTACACAGTGAAAATCCTTCAGCATTGGAGAGTCAGTAATATAGACCTTTCCTTGAAGGATTCTTCTTCTCACATGGGCAGTTTTAGTGCTACTTCAGCTGTTTCCCTTCTGAGTAAACATAATTTCACCATAACAAATTAGACTGATTCTACCTACAATAAAAACATAGATTTTCTTGATGATTGCTGTTCCTAGAGACACAAAAAGACTGATTTGCAAGAATGTCCTTTGGAATGTTCCTTATCTTAGGAACAATGAGAGAGTGAACAATGTTTTGTGAATATGTTAATACACTTATTTACAGCTATATTACTTTGGTGAATTAACCTTTTATAGTGTTTTACCGTGGGGTGTAGAGAAACACAGTCTTTGAGTAGGAGAACGGATCCCATAACCCCACATGGGATCAAACAGTTCCTGCAAAGAAGGTGGTACTGGGATGGTCTCCATGTTCTCTGGCAAGAGGACAAGATGTAATTAGGTTTAAAACTGCAAATGAAGTTTAGGTTAGACATTAGAGAGAAAATTTCTTTTTGCAAGAATGGTGAAGTACTCATATATGTTGCCCAAGAAAAACACCTACCTGAGAATGGTGTAAGTGTTGTTGATAGTGCCCTGGGGCAGGGGAATAGATTAAATGGCCGTTTGAGACTCCTTCAAACACGATTTTCTATGATATTTTTCTGAAAAATAATATGTATTCTCTCTGTTGGAGCAGTTATATTTGAGGAAGTAACTTCAACATTAAGAGAGAAATAAAAGGCATATTTTTTTCCCTAAGCAGTAAACTGAAGCAAGAAAAGATGCTGTCTTTCTTCAATATTTTAAAAGTACAACTGGTTATTAATATTTAAATAAAAGTGACATAACTAAATAAAATTGGAAGTGTTGAGGAAAAGAATTGGTCGATTTCAGTCATGAGTTATACCTCTGGCAACTTCATTGACCTGTAAGTCTGTAGAATTTACCTTAGTATTATTTAAATGAGGAAAACAAGATGACTACAAGATACTTGTATATACAGAAATACATGCAGTGAAAATTTAAGGGAAATGTTATCACCTCTAACAGTTATTATCAAAGTTCCAGGGTGAAGATCTAAAAATGAAAAATTTTAACGGATATAACTGGTGCATAATTAAAGTAATAATGAAATAGTATGGTAAACTCAGCTGGGTAACACACATAAGCTTATTAAGTGATTCTGTTGGTGAGAAGAAAAATATGCTTTATGAATCACTACATTGCTTACCACTGAAAAATCAACTCATATCAACAGTTGCCATGCTGTTATTTTATATACACAGGTTAACATTTCCTGCATGTTCAGAGAAGTACTATGACCTCTCAGAGCTCCCAGTTTAGTCACTACTGATGTTTCCCTTTGTATGGCCATCACAAATTAGGCTGAAACTGGTTTACAGTTAAATTTAACCCCTTTGACTGAGCTTTAATAGGCACCATCAAAAGTGGTTCCCTATGTCTGCATTTTTGGCTGAAAGTTTCAAATCTCTCATATGTCATGGATCATGTTATCCTTATAGTCCTAAGTGGTTACTTCACTGATTAATCCTCTTGCCATGTTAACTTCCATTATCTTGTGCTGATTCTTTTCAGAAATTATTATAAAATGTGTCAAAATATGAGACTTGCAAAAATAATTTCCAAATATTTATGATAAATTAATTTAGCAGTATTACTAATTATTCAAAGAAATAATTCCTCTTCAAATTGTATTTCACCTCCATTCACTCAATAGACCTACCAGGTGACATGGGAGAGTATTTTTTAAGATTGGCTTGGAGTAACATGTCCAGATTTGTGTAACTGTTTATGATCAAATCAGTGTACAGTTGACTGCATAAGCAGAAATATTAATATATTAGAAAAATTTATTGTTGTACATATTTTTTTTTTTTTAACAGAAAAGATAAAAAATTCTGACATTGCATTTGATCTGAAAACCCTGACACTTCTTTCTATAGCTTCTTCTTTTTCATGGGATCGTATTCCTACTCTCTGCCTCTGCAATATTAAATTGAATGAAACATTTCAGTAAAAGAGTTGTTAGAATTTTCAGATCCATTCTTTTTAATCCTACATGATCAAATGCTCCATGGTGATGATGTTATTCACACACCTTACTCATGATTTCTGAATCAAATATTGTTGTACATATTTTTTTTTTTTAACAGAAAAGATAAAAAATTCTGACATTGCATTTGATCTGAAAACCCTGACACTTCTTTCTATAGCTTCTTCTTTTTCATGGGATCGTATTCCTACTCTCTGCCTCTGCAATATTAAATTGAATGAAACATTTCAGTAAAAGAGTTGTTAGAATTTTCAGATCCATTCTTTTTAATCCTACATGATCAAATGCTCCATGGTGATGATGTTATTCACACACCTTACTCATGATTTCTGAATCTGGTTCTTCATAAGAAAAAATGAGACCATCGCATCTTATTTTCATACATCCTCTCTGTAGAATGCAAATAAAATGTCATAGCAAATTTGGTTAACTTTTGGGTGCAGTAACAATTGAAATCAGTGCCTCAATTTATATTTCTAAGAGCTAGAATGATGGACTCATAGAGACATGCAGAAGGTGTCTAGTCCACCTAGTGCTATATTGGAGTAGCTTCATTTTGAGGGAAGGACCAAAACATTTGTAATTGATAGAAACTATGATACTTCCTCTGTGCCAGCGCTAAAATGCAAGTTAATAAGGATCTGTCTGCTGGGCTTTTCTCTGGCTGGTCATTTGCCCACTTCTGAGGCTGAGTTTAAGCTTCAGAATTGGTGCTGGCACATTAGGCTTTGTGTTCAGCTGAAGTACCATTCTGATTGTCCCTAATTTTTGATCTGTGCAAATTCAAACCCATGGTTTTGGTCTGAAAGTTTCTATGGAAAAGTGAGGCAACTGATCAGTTTCTACTCAAAAGTTGTTCATTAACATTATAGGTGTTCTCTTAATTATGTGAAGATGAACTACATTTCAAACAGTTGCAGTAGGTATTTTATAGTATGGTACGATATAGTCTATCTAAAGTAAAGCTATAGTTAAAGACTAAAATAGGAATACAACTCCTTTTATGTCCTTTACTAGATCTTAGTCAAACATGGTGCCATGGATCCATTCCTTTACTTCCAAATGCTTAGATAAAACTCATTGACTGAAAACCAAATCACATTAAAACCTGAGATTTGAAACCCTGTTTCATTAACATGAGTAGTTCTCCTGCTGCCTTTTAGTGTGTACATTGTAGAGGACCAAGTACATAATGCTTTGATCCCCATTGCGGCCTCTATGCTTTACTGTTAAACAGGTAATGTGTAATATGATTAGGATCTATTTCTGGTTTTATTTCTATTATCTGTTCATTTCAAAGGTTGCAGTGCTATTTAGAAGAATCCAAGCAAATCATAACAAGTTAAGTCAGGCATTGGAAGCTGTCTAGCTGCAACATTAAGAGGCTAGTTTATACCAATATGACTAGGAAGTAAAATATATTGAGTATGGTATCTCTTATTTTATTTAACAGTTTTCCTTTGGGAAGAAATTCAGATACAGAACATCTTGGAGTCCTGTATTAAGATATGCCACCTACACAAAGTTAGCAAAGAAACCTTATTCTATAAGTATTGCATGTCAAATATACCCATGCTCTTATATGAACTAAGCTCCTTTTCCTGGGAAAGACCTGAAAAGTCATGACTGGTGTGGACTGGGTCAAGTAGACAATAGCATTAGTATTAGCACAATAATGTGAGATTACCACAAGTTCCCAGAGTAACCCTGCACTGGTATGAGGTGTTTTCCCTGTAATAAAACATTCAGAGGTTGAACAGCATTCTTTTAGCCCATGCCTTCCTTCACACCTTTTCTGCAACTCCAGTGCCAAATTTCAGGTTGTCATTCCCAGGATTTTTGCATACAGAATAACCCTTCTCATGACTGGCTGCTTCTGCCATCTGTATCATTACTGTTTCTTTGCTTCAGATCTACCTGCAATCAATGCTGCTCTGCATTCTTCTCTTCCTCTTTTTCCTCCAGTGTCCTTTATCTTCTTCTTGACATACCCACTTGAAGACAACCTGGGATCTGGTTTTTTTTCCAGAGTATTTGGTGTTACATACAATGCTATATGTTCAGAGTATGGCTCCCATTGGTTTCAGCAGTAACTGAATGCTCAGCACTTCTGCACGTTCAGTCTCAGTGTTTCAAGCTGATTGTCCAGAAAATGAAGAATGCACAGTCAAAACCTGCAATTATAATTTGATATAAATCTTTTAACTGACACCACAAATGAACTTTGTGGCACTCAAGCAGCTTGGTGGTACTGTCCTTGCTCTTTTCAGCGTTTCCCTCATTCAGACACTTTAAATTTAAGTTCTGCAACAAACAAACAAATAAACAAACAAAGCAGGAAATCTTAAAGACAATTTTACCAGAAAGATCCTTGCAATGCTCTGAGTAAGAGAAGGTTCTGCGGAAAAAATTATGTGCATCCTGTACCATGAGGAACATGAATATAGGGGCCAGAGTAAGGTTTCCATGTTGTCTGAACACGTCCAGGATATCTCTGTGTGTAAAGGGGATAAACACTTAAGCCTCTTTATAGCTTGTAAACACAGACACCACAACTGTGCATACTAATATTTGCAATTGGTATTATAGACTAAAAAATTGATGTACACACACATACTTGAGGACATATTTACATTGTGCAGTGGTGCATGTTGCAGAGATCCCTCTGCTAGCAGCAGCCAAGGTAAATTTATAATAGGAAATGGTGTCACTACGTTGATATGAAGTTACAGCTAAGAGATTTTGTCTTTCTCTGAGGCACTGACACTGCAACACTGTGTTTGGGATCTGAGCTGACATCTCTACCCAGGGCTATACTGTGCCATATGGTCATAGCAGCACTGCCTAAAGCCGGCTGAAATCTAGACTCTGTTATGTAGTGCCGTAGTGCCACAAAATAAAAAATCAGTCTTTAGAAGCAACTGGTAAGTGTTTGCAGGCTCAGAGAAATAAATGGTACAACTAGTAAAAAAGTGAGTGAAATGGAGTGCTGAGCTGAGCAGTATATCTAAATCCTCAAAGGGACCTATTAGTGATGCACAACCTCTAGAAAGTCTACATGTTAGAATACTCTGGTGGACATAATTCTGCTGAATGACACTCAGATATGTTTGTAATAAAATATACAACAGACTATGTAAGAAGTGGATATATATATTATTACCACTAGCAAGTTTTGTCAGAAGTCCTATTATTAATAGAAGTCATATGGTTCTTCCTCCACTGGACCCTTGCAAATATACCCTTAGTTTAAATCTGTAGCAGACTTTCTTTATCCAAAAAGTGCATAGAAGATATAATCAAATGCATGTAAACAAAGACAAACATGGAGAAAGAAACAAAATCCTTTAGTCCA